TTAGCGGAAAGCTCCTAAATCCGATAACTCGGCGATAATATCGGATTATCGACTGATATTTAAAATCATTAACCATTACCTTCAAACGCAGAGTGGAATAGGAAGTGAACTAGCTAAAACCCTAGAAAATGGTTCCGATATGAGGTTATCGTTTGACAAACAACGAATAAAATCAAATATTTAGGATTCAAATACCTGAATAGTGTTTAAATTTGATTTTTTATTCCTAAGGAGTATAAGTCAAGTATGGTGAATACTCGAATATTTGTGAGCATTTGTTTAGGGAAGTTGGCTAAGTTGCGAAGATTGTACACTATGGATCGTGTTTGAACCTTGGAAGCAATTTTTTACATAGACTTGATTCACATAATTTACTTAACCACTCTTTGACATTTTATTATAATTATTTATATCTTATTATCTATCTGTAGGAGTAAAACACTTACAGTTCCAAATTACAACCTAACCCACATTTTAGAACACTATTGAACAAAACTACTTCATCTAATGCAGCAAACACATCAGATGCAAATTTCTCATACAGTTGTGAGTGCTAGTAGGAGTAAAACACTTACAGGTCCATATTACAACCTAACCCACATTTTAGAACACTATTGAACAAAACTGCTTCATCTAATGCAGCAAACACATCAGATGCAAATTTTTTATACAGTTGTGAGTGCTAGTAAAAATCAAGAAACTAGCATAAAATAAGAATATTAGCAATCAAACCTCACAAGAATCAAGGCTCATTTCATCCATCATCAAAAAGAAACACATCAAAGATTACATCAAGTTGTAGATTCAAGAAGTATCCAAACTAATTGTTCCACTTAGAATTCAAATTAAAAACAAGATCAAAATACGTTACCTCGAAAACTTTAGGGAGCCTCAAGGAAACAAAAGCCATACAAGAAAAAGAAGTCAAAGAAATTATAGGATTCTCCAATACAAAATTTATCATACAATGATGACAACATAAGAAACGTAAAATATATCTAGATGACAACTACATGCTACTAACAATCACGAAATTAGTATAAAGAAATGATGTGACTGATCGAACCTCATGGGAATTGAGGCACATTTTGTTGATCAACAAAAAGAAACACAACAGAAAATAACATTAACTCAAATATTGCAACTCAATGAAACAAAAATGGTCCAAAAATAAAAAAGACAGACTTATTATAAGATTTCATCGCTAATCTAAAGCAGCAAACACATGTAACGCAAAATTTCTCAAACAAATGTGAAAAATCACAAGGAGAACAAGATATATCTAGATGATAACAACATTCTACTAAAAATAAAAAATAGTATAAATAAATAAAATCAATTATCAACTCACACTAGAATCAAGGCATTTTTCAACAATGAACGAAATGGAGACAGAATACTACGTGCTAAGTTATTGATTCGAGATTTTATTTGCGATCGGATCGCGATCAAGAACCTCTCCAAGTCAAGCAAAACCCTAGAAATGAGATGGAGATTTTTTTTATTTTTTGAGAAATGACATGGATATTTTGAAGAGATAAGGGTAGGACGGAGTGCAAGGATAAAAAGAGGTGTCATGTTGTTGTTGGTTGAGTTATGGGTTTGGTGGGTGAAAGAAAAGTAGGTGATGACGTATAGCCGGTGGAGTTCTTGGAGAAGTACGAGGATTCTTATAATTTGCACAAATTCACAATATAGTATCCTAACTTTTATACCCTAGACAATTTAATAATCTAATAATGTTCCCTTTAATATAATGCCCCATGAGGCGGATACACTAAGTAAAGATCATATACTCATAACCATGGATCTTAATTATGAAAATTTTCCAAGATAATACATTTGTATTCTATCTGTTTATGTTCTAGATTGTCAAAGGTAGTTAGCTCTGAAATGACTAATATATTTAACGCTAGTATGTATCCTTTTCTTAAAAGAGTGACTTGTTATTTTTTAAGACATAAAATTACTTTATATCTAACTTTGACTATTTCACATAAGTGGGGACACGTTCATGCTCATGCCTTCAATTTTTTTTCTAATGAGTATCAGATTCACTTCATTTAAGTAACATTTTTGCTCCCATTCGATCTTGCAATTTAGAATTTTTTTTAGCCTAACTATCTCAGTTGCATCTTCTATTAGGACTCATCTCTCTATTTCTTCGCACCTGGTGGCTAGTGATATCCTGACAGGATGTAGTTATTCTAATTCAAGGCTATCAAAATAATTGCCAGTAGTGAAGAATCTAGATCTTTTGAAATAATATATAAATATATTGAACATCTCATAATCAAAACAACAGGAAAACTTAAAAAATACATATTTGAGTGATTTTTCACACATAATTATTTTTAATTAACATACTGAAAATCTTAAAGGCTCACTGATGGTGAAGACCCTAAATATTTTAAAATGATACATATTAAACATCTCATAATCAAAACATTAGAAATACTTAAATGTGTGACTAAAAAACTAATTTCTCTCTTTTTTGCATGTGTCTACAAAGTATAATATTGGAAAGTCAAAGTGTTAAAAATGAAATGCATTAAGTTAGAATTTAGTTATAAATTAAGAGTCCTTATTTGAGTAATTTTACACAAATAATTCTTTTTAATTAACATATGTATTGAACATTTCAAAAACCTAAATATCTAAGTTTTCACTTTCCAAACTATCCTTTTCCGGTCATTAAAAAAAATCCTTTTTCATTGAGTTGGTTGCTTATAGGAAAATGCTGCATTTGTTCTATTTGATATAGGAAATTCTAGGCAAACGGTGTTTAATGTAGATAACTATGTGAACAAAGTATAATATTTTAAAGCTTAAATATTAGAAAACTCTCCTTAATTTTGGACAATAATTATATAACCCGATATAACTTTGAAAATATCAGAAAACCCCTTTAAGTTTAGGGGTTATCAAAAACCCCTTTAATTTTGAGATTATATCAGGAAACCCTGCTAAAAGCCATGAATTTAGGTGACTTTCAAATAAAATTCAAAATTTAAATATGGGTAAATTTCACTAAACCTTCAATAAGTTTGGTGTTTGGAACTAAATGCCAAATATCTTAAAAACTCTTACTAAACCCCCAATAACCTTTGGTAGAAAACCCTCAAAATTAATATCATTAGTTCATGTATAGTCTAATGACCAAAATATACCCCAATAACCTAATAAATTTTACATTTTTCACTTAACCCCAATATTTTTTCCGCAATAAAACCCAAAAGACCAGATGTTTATGATTTTTAATTTTTTCCAAAGGTTTTCTTGTAATTATTGGAATTTTCAAGAGGTTGATTGTAATTTTTGGATTTCAAAGGGGTTTGTTTCTAATTTTAGATTTTTTGAGGGGTTGTTTGTACTTTTTATAATTTTTAGGGTATTGTGTAATTTTCTCGGGGTTTATATGTAATGGTCTAATTTAAAGGGTCTGTTTACAATTTTCAAGATTTTTAGAGGTTGTTTGCAATTTTAAATTTTAGGGTGCTATTTGTAATTTGTTAGCTTTGTTTTTTGTAATTTTCATATTTGTCATGTGTTTCTTTGAAACTTTGAATTTTTAGGGGGTTATTTATAATTTTTGAATTTTAAGGGGGTGTTTGTCCTTTTTAGATTTTTAAGAGGTTGTTTGTATGTTATGATTTTTTTAGGGTCATTTATAATTTTAGAATGTTAAAGAGTCTTTTTTAATCTTTATATTTTCGAGGTTCATAATTTTAGAAAATCCTCATTAATGTTTGGAACTAAATCTCTAATATCTTAAAAATTCTCATTAAACCCCCAATAACTTTTTGGTAGACCTCAAAATTAACATCATTAGTTCATGTTTTTAGTGTTGTTCGTAAATTTATGGGTTAATTTGCAAATAAGAATGATTTGAGGGTATATACTGTCCTTGAGGGTTACTTGTAGTCGATGTAAAATTTTGGGATAACACAATTATGGAAGTTAAGTGCAAAAAATATAATTTTTTTTGGTGTTTTCTGAAATCATCAAACTTACTGAGGATCTAGTGAGAGTCGCAAATATTTTGGGAGTTTGTGCTCAATTCAAAGTTACGGGAGGATTTATTGAAATTTACTTAATAACTAAGGAGACGTGAATTTTTTTTAGATTTTTTAATTTGGATAGTTACAATTTTTTTAGAATTAATAAATATTTATTATTAGATTTTCTACTTTTTATAGATAGAATTTTCTAATTATGGATATGAATAATTTTAAATTAAATGAAAATTCTTAGGAAGATAGAATTTGTTGGACACGGGTCATCTTCTAATAGGATAGAGAATTAGTTCACCGTTTGATCTCTTTTCATATAAATTTTTGGTTAAAGATTTTACCTTTAAAATATTTGAATATGTATTATTAATTATGATAAGATTAGAATGTAATATTTAAAAGGGTGAAAGGTTGTATTGACCATGGAATGTTTTTCCCAGACTCGCTCTTTTATGAGTATGATGATGATATGAGATGATATGATCTTCCTGATATATCTTACTGATATAATTGTAGTTGATAACTCTGCAGATGTTTAATGTGTGTATATTAGTTTCCCCCAAAAATAGTTTTTGACTGTTCTGGGAGATATGTCTAGAACTCTGAGGTCCTATCCGACTTAGTAGAATAAGATCAGATATAGAAACACTTCATCTGCTGATTGTGCAGTGTATCATTTTACATTTGAACATCTAGTCTACTAAACTATCAACTGTTTGGCTTGGTTATATTATTATGGGAACCACAAGGCATTCTTAATTTAATCAATGAACTGCTTCACAAGCTTCCTTCTCATGATGGGACTTTTCTATCAAAAACTGGCAACAAAGGAAGAAAGTAAATATGCTGCATTATAAATGCAGCTGAACATTGATAGACACATTAGTATATATGATGCGTGTTCATTCATGAATCTTGTGCTTCTGCAGTGTATTAATAATTCCAGTCAAAACTTATTGATTATGACTTTAAACTTGTCAAACCAAGGGAGGGAGAAACAAAAATCTGAGTCTGCGGGTGGTGATAGTACTGCTGCTTCAGAGTTTAAATTCAAGTATCAAAATGGCATGCTTCATTCAGTTACAGGGAAGGCTCAAAGTATGTTCTCTCTCTTTGTATTTTTCCTCTCTGAGTACTTGTGTTCATTCATATGTTGCCCTTTTGTATAACCAAGCATCCACATAATGTAAATGTATAATGCAATTCATTTATTTGTAAACTTCGAGACAATATGCACATGCATCTCTTTAGTGCAAAGCCTTGTATCTATGTATCAATATGTATTCTTTGTTATGCCTCCTAAAAAATGAATTTTATGACTACAAGAAGTTTTTATAACATTCAAGATGCTTCTGTTTGCAATTATTATGTATCCTCTGAAATGTAGATCATCACAGGTTGCCTCTTCATAGTACTATTGATTAAAATATTCACATTGATTGTCTGTTGATTCTTGAATGGCAGCTTCTGCTGATCATGGGAGGACAATACCAGATGCCTCAACAAATGGAGGTATAAATTATTCAGGTGTGTCTTTTCTCCAAATTGATGGTCATACATTTGTTTCATTCACCTATGTGGTTCAATCAAACTTTCAATTTCTGGAGCACATGGAACCTGGCAAGCAAATTTGAATTTGGGGGGTTCTGTGTTGTTTGTTGTTCTGCTTTCTTTTTTCTTCTTTCTTCTTTCTTCTTTCGTCTTTTGTAATCTTCTTTGAGTATAAAGGGTGCACATAAGTCCAACCACTTCATCAAAGAGAGAATAAATGGAACATAGAGAAGATGAGCATCACTTGCCTCTGTCACATGTTGTGATAGGAGGATTTAGTTCCTCTCCTCCAATTATTTCCTCACTTCTTGTGCACATGTTTTAAACTCTGGCCACCTCTTTCGTGTTCCCATGGTCTCTACTACACACTACACTTCGTAGGCAAATTTGGATTTTTACATAAAGCATGTTAATAGGAGCTATTTATTCACTATTTCTTGGCTTCTTCTGTGGTCTGTTTGCTATCCATGCAGTGCTAAAAGTCAAGGATATAACTGGGTAAAATATCATCAAGAGGATGAAAAAACTTTTTATCAATAGGCTAATTGTGGATTCATTCCTTGAAGTCCAATCAAGTCCAATGTGCCTTTGTTTTTAAATTTTGCTTCAAGCAAAATCTGTTTGATATTACATGTGCTTCTCTTTATGTTTTTATACAATAGGTCATGAAGTTCTTATTCATACACGGCTACACTAGAGTCTGTCATGTATGTTTTAACAACCCCTTGTTTGAAATGCCGCACATGGTTTTGGCCCCAACTTGGACCTTGTATGTAATTAGTTAACTAGGATGAAAGCCAGTATAGTTTTCAATAAGCACAGTTATAAACCATAACTTAGCCCTAACGTGGTTTTGGCATGATATTTCAATGTTACTTTACACTTGCTGCAGCTTGTTTTAATCAGAAAGATCCATTCTGCTGTTCTAGATTACTGTGTCATCTTTAAGCTAATACATCCCTGCTTTCTTTAATTAGCATCTATACCAGGTCCGCTTGCAATGAAAGTTTACCACCCACAAGGAAGTTATCGCCTAAGGAAAACACTTGGCTATCTGTACCAGCAGAGAGCTGCAAAAGAGCATAGCCATGATTCCGTAGGTGTACAACTCAAGCAGGACAAGGCCATGTTATCTTCACGAGTCCCATATGCTAATATATCATCGCATGAGGTACAAAAAGAGGATGTTCCTCAAACAAAGGTCTGTATTTCCTTCTCTAATTAGGATTCTGACTGCAGGTTCTGGTCTGTTTCTTTCTTGTGTACTTTTTCTTAAGATGCATCTTTATCTTGCATGATATCAGTTGGTGGATGTCCTTTCCCCGCCCTTTACTCTTATCTGATCATTGTATGTGGACTGTATAGTACTAGAGTCGCTAGCATACAGATACTTACGTTAGAACCTCTGATCAGCCTCAAAATTGAGATTCATAGTTTAGCATGGAAATGGGTCTTGGAGTTCCCCAACAAGCAGCAGCTTCATTCTACGGTATATTGTTATCAGAAATACCAGGAGAAAGTTTACTATTAGTCTATTACCTTTCCGTATTCTTTGGATCCCCTACAAGTTTCATTTTACCTGTGTAATATGTATTATCATTTATGATTTTTTTATAGATCCATTTGCTTGCCACTGAGGCCACTGGAAATTCATGGGTTTACATTGTAGCAAATAATTGGTTCCTTCCTCTTTATTCAAACCTTCATTAGGAGATCTGCTTCTCATAATACACGACAAGTCAAAACATCCACATAGAAGTGCACCTGGAAAAAAATATCTGCCCCTTCGAAATTAATTTTATTTAAGAAAACCAACAAACATTGTCCGGTCTTTTTAACTTTGGCATAATACCACAAGTATCTAATCCTGGCAATGGCATTGCCTACAAGTAAAATGCACGTATTAGTCAATAATAATAAAAGAATAAGACCTATTACTTAAAGCTAAGAAAGATTAGAGCATATTTTCAATCACTTGAAATAGTATAGCATAACAAATGGGACAATTCAAATGCCTTTTTAAATTCTTCTCTGGAATGGAGGTGTCCTACTGTTAGGCAATTTTAGAGCTTAGTTGCTTGATACAAATGAGTGTCAAACATGCTCGATATTGAGATAAATATTATCATATTCTTTGCCAACAATGAAGAAATACTCATCTTTTATTTAGGGGGAAAAGATTCATGTCTGGCACGGTCATAAGTTGCTTTTAGTTTGCTACAAATTTCCCCCTTGAAACAATTAATCATGATTCTTTGTTTTGGTCTCCAAATTTGGGCCTAGCAGGAGTAATTTTTTGTAATATAGATGACCTAGAAAGGCACAAAGTCTTTTTTTCTCTCTTTATCACAAAGAAATTTTAATATATTTTCTAAATGTGTAGTACAGTATGTTCCATGTGATAACTGTCACTTCGTGTTTATTTTTATAATTTCTTCTTTATTTGAAGCGTGAAACTCATTGTTTCATAAAAATACATATATATGGGGTAGGCATGTATATTCTTTCCCCTGCGAGAAACCTGTGTTCTCCTGACATAGTCGATCCAACTGTAATAGCAATGTTAGAACCTGTGGAAACTAAGGGAGCTGCATTCACCAGATTTATTAGCCCTGATACATACATTAACCCACAGCATGATTGTGTTATCATCTTCTCCTTCCCCTACCAAAATGGGTTGGTTGGAAAGCACAATGAACTGAAGTACTTCACAGATCTTGTTTATTATCCGTCTATTCGGTCATATTTGATTCGGTAGTTAACATAACAATAAATGAATAATTTTTAGTATTCTGTTTTTAAAGAAAAGACTTAACCAATGTATATTCGATTTGTTTGTTTAGTAAATATTCGTTTATGTTTTTCTACTTTTATATTACTAAATTATATTATCTTTTATGTGTGCATAATATTGTAAATAAATACTATATTAATAATTTATAAACATATACTATAACAATTTTTATAGTCAAATATCATAATAACATTTAGGTAAAGCTTTAAAGAAAATAAATAAGAAAATACTTCACATATGGGATCCGAACTCAAGACCTCATCTTTAAGTAACTTATGAGTTACCAAGTGTATTTCTCAGATATTTGTGAACCATTAATGAATATTCGGCTAATTAACAAATTGAATTTAACCATATTTCTATTCGACAAACTCGAATTTGAGTTCGTCAAAATGACCGAATTCGAATCTGAATACCATAGTATTCGATTCGACTCAGTTTGTTTCCAACCCTGTGGACAAGAAAGGGTCTAACATTAATCCTAGGATGCCAATTGGTAAATAGAATATACTTACCTTCTTAGTCATTCTGTTTAAACTTGCCCACAAGGGAGTAGTAGTCCTGTCCTAGGCTGAGGAGGGTATGAAGGAAGGGGAAAAATCGTAGTTCTGCAACACTTGCTATAAGTAATTGCATTCAACTCTAAGATAGACAAGTTAGAGTTCAACAAAAGAAATTTTCGTATAGTTTGAATTCAGTTGATGAACCCCACATGAAGGTTGAATAGTTGATAGTATAATTCTATGTGAATTCAGTTGATGAACCCCACATGAAGGTTGAATAGTTGATAGTATAATTCTATGTGAATTCAGTTGATGAACCCCACATGAAGGTTGAATAGTTGATAGTATAATTCTATGTACTTTGTACCATATAAATTGACATATGCAACATCGCCATCAGCATGTATATTTTTGTCTAAAAACATGATACTAAGCCTTGGACCAAGACTTATGAGCAACTTTAGCTGTCAGAACGTCCGCTAGCTGCAGGCAACGTGCCAAACGTGAGTATATTGTAAACCATATATCCGTACCAAATACAAATTCTTGGTTATGTACTGTTTTCTTACATAGATAAAAGGTGCCCCCTTAGCAATTGACATCAACGGACAGATGTAGGGAGAATCTCTATACTGATATTTCTAATTCTATGAGGAGAGAAAGCATCTATTGCAGATTATGCTTATTGTTTTCTCTGTATATGTTTAATTTTAATTGATTTCTTACTTGTGATTCCTACTTGCATGAATGTAATTTTTCAAAACAATTATTAACTACTAGTATCTTGGGAGTAGCAAGCCCTCTGTTGTTTATAGTTTCCTCGGGGACAAAAGGTAGCATTGACTCAATAGGACTGGTGTCAAGTTTATGTTAGGACATAATATAATTTTTTTTTTAATTCTTTGGAGTTCTTATCGAGCAAGAGTTGGGTCTTCATAGCAACCTTTTGATGGGAAAGTGTTGCCGAGATAGTAGACAATTATTATTGGTAGAAGACGAAAGGAGGAGAAAAAAGATTAAACAAAGAATACTGACAGCATGAGTTGCAGTGAGCAAAAGAAGAAAGGGAGGAAAAAGAAAACAGCGAATTAGAAGAATACAGACAGCACTAATGTGAGAATTGCAATCTGGTTCCTTTGTTAATGTAATTGGGAAAGGAGACATGTGGCAAAAGGATCTGAGCACCTCCAGTCTGATATACATCAAGATTTTAATGTTGGTTGTCTCCATGATGATTCCTCTCTTAATTGTTCAGGTTTCTGCTTAAGGAAACAATCGGACATGAACAGCCTTCTCATGATTCTTGCGGGGCTGGTTGGCAAATAGGAAACCTATGTTATTGCTTTTGCATTATAAGCTTATGCAACCAAAGAGCATTAGTCTATTCTGTAGTGGGATCCATAGAATGTGAATTCATAGTAATGGATCATACAACTATCGGACAAATTGACCACTTCATATCAGAATCGTTATAAGATGGACCTCATCTCTGCTTTCAGTGTGCGTAAATGGATGGATTACATTCTACAATGTCGAAATTCGTTTATGTTTACTTTTTTTAAATCGATTCTCATAAACCTACAGCCACGTGAGAATACGCAGTTTATTTGTGAAACTTTCTAATTACCTGTCACTATGTTTTATGCAGTCTCTTCTATATAGAGTATCTGTCTCTTTCTATCAGGAAACTGAATGCTGTTGTATTTCTTGAATAGTATCAAACTCTTTTTAAATATTTCCACACAGTTTTGAACATTCTTTGGAGACCTCAAGAGGATTACCATCGAATTTCCACATTTCAGACTATTCATTTAATCAACACCCTTTACCGCTTGCACTTTTTGTAGTCGTTCTGAATAATTATGAAGAGAGTTATTTTTCAGCATATTTATATTCAGAATTATCAGGTGAATTTTTTCTTAAGCTTTTGTACGATCTTGTTCTTCTTTTAATCAGTGATCATTTTTCCAGAAATATTTTACAGTCAGGTAATAGCATCCATGGCTATATTTTGCCCTTGTGTCACACAAGAAATGCTTGGCCGTCATTCAAGTTTTTATTCAAGCACCTCGAAGAATTGTTGGGATTAGATCCAAGATCGAGCAGGTCTGAATTGGTAATGGAGCCTTCACAATCTCATTAGTAATTGCACTTAGGTGAGTACTAGATTGTCAATGCGAATCATACTTTTAGTTCTTCTTGCCCTTATAATTTAACATTAATCTAGTAATATCTTTTTTTTTTCATATTTTGATTATTAAATCCTATGAAGAGGACGAACAATATGGTTTATGTTGGATGATTGGTATTTAATACTTGGTAGTCTTTGTATACACATGTAATATAGCTCTTGGCACCGTGCAGCGGCCAGTTGTAAGCATTATGTCTGGCTAGCTGTCGATACGTGTTCTGGCAAAGCAAATCACCAAATATTTTAGAGAAGAGTCGAAATGGTAAGTCTTTGTCCAGAGGTGTGATTGTTTTGAAATCGCTTTATGCTGCTTCCTTGCATAGTGTACGCTACATCATCTCATGATAAGTGGAATTGCCAACTTTTGCTTCTTTTTAAACAGAAATATGTCGAAGGTCGTTTCAAGAGCTGGAATCGCCTAACTAGCAGCTGCTGGAGCCGCACGTTTCAGATGGGTAAAGAGGTTTATGATGGTGGAATCCCCAATTTCAATCACTCTCAACCTCGACGGATATGAAATTTTGTGATGAAGAGACTTGATGACCGATCAAAATTTCAAAATATTTTTTTATTTATTATGATGATTTAAATATCGGCCTGATCCTCGATACGACTGGACTTTGATATTTTGAACGCTACGCACGGATTGCATGTTATCCAGTTTCATCTTCGTCATGCTTCCTCATCGGAGAGAATTTAGTTGAGAAACAGAACCCACCAATTTTGTCGGGTCCTTGTCATCGGGGGTTACTCTAGTAGCTTTTAGAAGGGTTTGTGATCTCGTCTTGTTCTTCTCTTTTATACCGACCACTGAATTCCTATCGCGTAGTGATAGCTGACGGTTACGCAAGAAAGAGAGAAATTTCTTATGCTGTCTGTGCGCAAAAAGCATTGAAGAACTCATGAGCCCCCGCTTTTTATTGGGTCCCGTCTAAAAGGTGAGGGCTACACGGCTCGTGCATGCATAGTTATCATTACTTTTTATCTTGGAATGTTCTGCCAAAAACACTGAACGAAATAGTACAGTTTGAAGTGGGCCGAGTCGGGCTGACGGCGGTTCTCAGTTTCTCTTCAGCCGTTGAATCCAGATTCATGCACGTAACAAACATGCAAAGGAGCGGAGGGCGGGGGGGGATTGCAGAGGTCTCAAGTGGAAAAGCCTTTGTAGGGAACAGATTTGAGGCCCAATTCAATATGAGAACAGGTTTATTCTATTCTCTCTAAACGCTAATTATGAGCGTCTTCTTTTTTTTTTCGTCATATTTCGGGGTGGCACATCACTACCATCCATTTCTATCATTTTCAGATTGTATGATGCGCCTGTGCTATTAAGCTGTGCGAGCGGTGGACCACCGAAAGATTTTCGTATGGCGGTCAACGGTCCCCCGTTGTCAAATGTTTCAAATTTTTGGATAAGGAAGAGCTCAATCATTGATAAAAAAATTATTAGGTTAATGACAGTGAAGTATTACCAGCCCGTTATCAACGGTCCCGTTATCATTTTCGTATGGCGGTCAACGGTCTCCGTTATCATTCATAATTTAGTCCCGTTATCAAATGTTTGGTTAATGACAGTGAAGTATTACCAGCCCCGCCCCCACAACACCACACCCCAAACCCCAACCCCAAAAAAATTTTTTTTTTTTTTTGGTTGGTGGTTTTGTCAATTAGGAAACGGTTTGAAATTTGAGACAATACGCGTGCTTTTGATGCGTTTTGGATCATAGTAAAAACATCAAATATTTAAAAGTTTAACTTTATGAGAAAATGCGGTTCTTTAAGTAAAACAAAATTAGTCTTAGCAATTAATAGGTATCATGATGTAGAACACACAGCAGACGCGTTTATGTCAAAGTGGGACAGTCGCAAACCCAAATGCGGGCCTGGTCGAAGAAAATAACTAGTTTCGAAGAAACGGTCGTAACTTTCAAACCGTACGTCGGAATGAGACGAATTATATATGAAAATCGACTATCTCGACGAGACGGAGCCATCCAAACCTACCCTTCCGGGTTTGGTTTGTGTTCTCTGTTTCGTCAAATTTCTTACGGTTTGAAAGATATTTGTATTTTTGTTCGTTTTACTATTTTTAGTAATATTTTATGAGTCTGTTTTGTTTAGGAAACAAATCCGATTTTGATCTCAGATTTGACCGGTGGACTTTCCTAGTAATAAGGAGTCTTTTTAGAAGTTTTAATATTTTAAGAATTCTTTTATTATTTTTGGAAGAGTTTGAGTCATTGTAGGAGTCTTTTTTTTTTTTTTAAGTAGAGTCTTGTAAGCCCTAGAGGCATAACTTTTGATTAATAAAATTTCGTTTTTCCTTAACATTTCTTCGTGGATTCGAAGCTCTTCGTGGATTCTAAGATTTTCCTTGGTGGATTCCGAGGCTACTACTTCCACGCTACGTCATATCATAACGAGACAAATTCTTTTATTTACATAAGAATGGCAACTTCAATACGGCCATATTATTAACAAAACTACAAATTTCTTTTTTTTTTTTCCGGTTTGCTGTGAAGCAGTTCCTCCAAATTGTTGCTTGTACGTGTTTGTACTTTGTATCAACCAAAACCTCTTCATTAAACAATCCCACCACTGCACGTGCAGTGCACGTATGGGAGATTCTTGTGCTAAAAAAAAATAATAATAAAAATCTCGGTCCGATACACGTCTACAGAGTACAACAAGTCACCAGTTGAGGGTCTGAGTATCCATAGATTTAAGAGCCCTTTTGTTTTCATTTTAAAAAAGTAACAATAATTATTTCACCTCGAAAAAAATAAATAAATAACAAATGCAAATTGCTATTCGGAAAAACTGCCAAAGCTTACAGTTTCTGACAATGGCCAGGATGTTTTCCCTTTTTCTATCACAAAATCTCAGCCGTCCATCTCATTCAGTCGGCTCTCAAATCCTTAACCCATATACTTTCGTGCCTTTTATTATAAGATAACAGGTTATTGGGTTATAATAAAAGCTACTGTAATATAATAGGAAACCAACCCCGTCCCCCAACAATTATCAGAAAACCCTCCTTTAACTTTGGGGGTTATCAGAAAACCCCCTTTAGCTTTAAGGTTCTATCACGAACACACACACCCTCCAATGGATTTTTGATGGGAGAGTTTTTTTTAGCAAGAAATCAGATTCATGTGCTAAACTAAGTTTCTATTTTTATTTTTTTATCACGTGGGCGTGAAAATGCCTACTTGGGGGTATTTTAGTCTACAAAAAAAATTAAGATGATACAACCTTAAAAATAAAAGGGGTTTTCTAATAACCCCTAAGCTTAAAGGGGGTTTTCTAATAACCCCTAAACTTAAGGGGGTTTTCTGATATTTTGAAAGTTAACGGAAGTTTTCTGATGATCATCCAAAGTTATAAAAGGGGTTTTTTTTTCGGACATTAAACCATAATATATAAAGTATATACTTCGGTAAGCACGATTTAACGGGCTAGGACAAAACAGTAATTTCCATTTCATTTGTGGGCCCTGATTATTTGTGGGCCCCGATTAGCCAGTTGGTGGCCGAACCCTTATTCTGCACACTTGAACAGTAAAAGTCACAATGAACATTCGCTCTCCCTCATACTTGACCGTCAAATGAGACAAAAACAACATCTAATGAGAATTTGAAGTCAACAAAAACACAGATTGGTATTAAATTGTCATCGTATTTGGGATCAATTACAATCTTTCAGTTTAGAATTATTTTAGCATATAATCCATCAAAAATAAGTTAGGTTTTTTTTTTTAAAGAGTGATGATGTTAATAGAGCCCACTATCCACTTCATTGTAGTTTGTAAGTAGTGAAAATGAGTGTATTCCAGGCTTCTAGCTAGCATTTATTCTTAAATGTGTATTCTAGTCCGTTGGCTGAAACTGAATCGTATTTGACAAATATTTTCGAAATAAGTCGTTTTTTTACAAACAAGTTTCTAAAGATTTCTAAAACCAATATTTCTCTCACCCGTGTGATTACACTATATTAAATATAGAACCTAAATTAGTCCGGGGTAAAATAAAAAAAAATATCCCGGGTTTGCGGACGCGATTACACCCAAACCCGATAGCAACGCAAAAAAAAAACCCAATCTCCGTCGCCCCCCGCCCCAAAAAATGCTGACCCGTCACCTCGAGGGCGAAAACCGTCATTTCGCCCAAAAAGCGCGGCATGCATTTCGGTGAAAAGCCTGCCCCGGATGACGTCACCAGGGGCAGAACCGTCATTCCCGGCGTCAAAATAATCCGGTCAATCAAAAGAGAGAGAGGCGGACATCGCTGTGAAATCACAAGCGCTACGGCGCGGGTGCAACCCCTGCCACGCTTTAAATCGTGCCGCGGTCTTTTCTCGTCGTAACAACGGCGGTGACGGGACCGCGGGGGTGAGGCTATCGCGCGGTAACCGCCGGCTGCGGAGGGCCTCTGATGGTTGATTGATCGGACGGCGCGTGAATCGCCCTGTCGAGCGAAATCGATGATGAATGATGATGATGATGATGATGAATGTGACGACGGGTCCGGTCACCCCTCGGGGCTTCGGTGACCGCGTGTTGGGCGCCGCATCCATGCATGGACTGATGGGTATTTAAGGGAGGCCACGCCCGTGCGTCGCCATTTGCCAAATGGGCTCTCCATCCCTCTCCTCCCAATAATAATAATTAAAAACAAAAAACAAAATCAATAATAATAAGAAAAACATGCAACATGCTCTAACACAGATTTTATGGTAAATTATAATGGAAGAAATTTTCGATTTAAACACATTTTAACTTTTTTTTAACCGACCCACTCTTATTTAATTTATAATAACCGACTCATTTGGTGGTCACGTCAGCATCGTGGCCACGAAGAGGGATGATTTTTTTTAAACTCGTTGCTAAATGGTCGGGATTGTCAACCCCGAATATTTTGCACGACATGTCTAATAAACAGGCTAAATTAGTCGGGGTTGTCAATACCGACTAATTTAGCACATTGTCTAATTGGTCGGAATTAGGAACCCCGACCAATTCGAAAGCCTTTTTTTCGAAATGGTCGGGGTTCCTAACCCCGACCATTTAGCAGAGACTTTTGAAGCAAAAGAGATGAGAGGATAAGGCAAAATGATCGGGGTTGGGAACCCCGATCAAATCGTGTAGGTGCACAAAATGGTCAGGGTTCCCAACCCCGACTATTTTGTAGAGCTCGGATGAGATCCTAAAGAGTGCTTTCACCTTCGATGAGAGCTCGAATGAGATCCTTGTCTGGTTGTGTGTGAAGTTGGGAGTGCATGACATCCCCGTCGACTCGAACCGGCTGTGAACATTCGGCTTGAGCCTGCTGTGAGCCGCCAGCTTCATCATGTGCACGGCTTGAGCCTGCCCCCGTGTGTCCTCAGAACCGTCAACGCCCGTACTCAATTGGTCGCTCCTCACGTCCATCACGTCTTGCATTACGCGTCCTCTGAAGAGTGGGCTGAATCTTTTTTATCATGCGAAGGAACGTGTTCCTCGGATCTGGCTCGGTAGTCATTCGCAATGCATCATGCGTCATAGTAGAAAGCTCTTCGAGCTCTTGTACCGATAAGATAAAAACTAAAAGAAAATATTATGAAGTGGATGATAATAAAATAAAACTCACAAAATAACTGTATATTTTGCTTACGCACTTACCAACTCTCTCTCAACTGGGCCTCTTCGTATGTACTCCTTAGGGGCTTTGTTCTCCTGAAATATCCACCGACGAGTAATCCCCCAATACCATTGCAAATACACACCTAAGTCAGGTGCGTCATCCCTCTCCATCACCACTTGCTCCTCCCTCAACTCCCACATCTCGATGTAAGCATGGCGAATATATCCCCAATTTGCATGATGTGCACCTTTTCTGGGATATCACTCTATTCTCTCCACAGGGACCGAAATATGTTGTTGTAGCCCAAATTGTCAGAGCACACGGTCAAGCACGTGCATCTTAACAATCTCAAAATATATGATTGGGATGCGAGCACGCCATACATCCTCACATTCCCTGCAAATATCTGGTAGTGATTCTAAAACTAGCTCATATGGCATGCACTTGACCTATAAAAATTTAAGTAAAGCAGATATCAGTAATAAATGATGTAATGATTGAATATATTTAGATATTATGATTTAATATATGTTCATCATCCATTTGATCAAGCTCGTTCCAGTAGAAGTTTTCATGTCCCTTTTGTGAGGTATGGCAAGTTCTGGACACATTCCATCTATTTTATATACAATGAGTTAGTATAGATTGAAATAAATGTATAAAATTACATGTTGGACACATTCCATCTATTTTATATACAATGAGTTAGTATAGATTGAAATAAATGTATAAAATTACATGTAATTATATATATTACAAAATAACTCACAATGAGTTAGTATAGATTGAAATAAATGTATAAAATTACATGTAATTATATATATTACAAAATAACTCAGTCTAACGAAATATAGAC